GGGACTCTTCATTAGGGACTCTAGTGGTAGGACAAGGGGTAATGGCTCTAAACTTAAACAGGGGAACTTTAGGTTAGATATAAGGAAGAAGTTCTTCACAGTGAGGGTGGTGAGGCACTGGAATAGGTTGCCCAAGGAAGTTGTGAATGCTCCATCCCTGGAGGCGTTTAAGGCCAGGCTGGACAGAGCCTTGGGCGACAGTTTAGTGTGAGGTGTCCCTGCCCATGGCAGGGGGGTTGGAACTGGATGATCTTAAGATCCTTTCCAACCCTAACTATTCTATGATTCTATGATTCTATAACTACTCAGACTACCTGCCCAGAGCAAATGGGGACTGTTTTGAGTTTCCACTTGATTTAATCTCAAATTCCTCAGGCTGTTTTCTTGCTCTGAGGAAAGCTTTGGTAGCTGAGCACACTTAGGGTTTTTTTAAGCCTATGTTTGTTTCCTAAGTCCCCTCCCCAGCATCCTTGTAGGCCCCCTTCAGATACTGGATGGTGTACAGAGACAGAACAAGTCAAGTCGATTTGTAAGTACATTGCAGCAAAGGCTCCAAACCGGAATCAGATGTCAGCATTGGCTTTGAAATTGCACAGCTGATACAATGCCTATATTGTGGACACCCACCAATTAAGAAACTTTGCTAATGGCAGGTGTTTACCATGTGCTTGTGTTTCCCTGGGAGATATCTCATCTTTCAGAAGCAGCAAACGGGGATTTTGCTGCCAGTATTTACACCTTAGACCTTTCAGCCTTGTGGTGCAGGTGCCCTGCTTTGCCATGCTTGAGAAGCTGCATCAGCCCCTCTCATCTAAACCTCCCCGTGCCCTTAGGAGCTTTCTTGCTGCAGAAAGGAGTGGATTAAAGATGATCTGAAGGAAGGGAGTGTGGAGAAGGCTTTCATGTGGCAGCACATGTGGCCACCCTGTCTTCACATCTGCGCTTGCTCTGTGGGTGTTGTCACCTTTGGTTTGGCTCTTGGGGTTGAAGAGCTACCTGCCACCTTCACGCCCTGCACCCATCCAACTTTCCCGGGCTGAAGCAGCAGCTCCCGGCACAAAAAAGAGATGCTCAAGCTCCCTCTACAGTTGACAGAAGGAGAAAGGCATTTCTCAAGAGGGGCAAAAGCGTGAGACTGCAACTCTCCATTGGCTTCGGGAAAGAGCCTGAGCTCTTTCTCTAGGTGTGCAGTCACCTGCTGGACCAGAGCAGTGCGAATTGCACGTCCTTCAGTCAGAGATATTTAACCTCTGCCTGTCCTTGTCTCAGCATCTCCACCATCCTTCTCAGTCCAGTCTGTTTTCTCCCCCTTTCCTTGGCAGATCACTACATGCAAGTCCTGGCCTGCAAACATGACTGTGTCCGAGAACTCGCCACACGTTCTGGCCGAATCTCTCCCATTGAAAATTTCCTTCCCCTCCATTACGACTATTTGCAGTTTGCCTATTACAGAGGTAAAGGCCGTCTTTCTGTTCCTCATAGCACTTGCAGAGTTTTGTTACATTTTATACAAGTTCAAATTGTTTCATGGGGAAATCAGGATATTTCCACATCATGTTCATACTACTGTGATGTTAGTGGCATGGTCTGAAAGAGTCCATAAGGAAAGGACATTGGAGGTTTTCTATTCAAATGTCAGGTTGACTGAAATGCTATTAGGCATTTCTGTAAAAGTGTTTAAAGTCATCAGTCAGGTTTTAAAAGTCCAACCTTTAACTTAAACATTCTTATTCTTTAGATAAATAATGCTTTTCTAGGGTTGTTTCATTTTCATTTTGACATTAAAGTTCAGGGGATTTATATGTTTCACATTTTCTGAAATCAATTGATGCATTTTCTAAGTTAATATATTAATAGATACACAAGTTGGGGCAAGCTTATTCCAAGATGCCAATTTTTGCTGGTTACCAAATATTTTAAGATTCATGGTAAAGGTGCAGGAGTTGACTACATTGCAAAATATCAGGAGCTGGCAGTGCTATAATATGCTGCCAGTTGTGTGGTCCTGTATAGTATTTTATTATGTTCTGTTACATAAAAGAAATTCTAGGCTGAATTCTGCTATCTCAGGCTTGTGCTAAGAGCTCTTTCCTGAAAAGGGCAGAATGGATGAGGGTCAGAACTGCTACTCAAGCAAAGCTTCTTCATTAATCAACGCAACTGTATGAAAGCTAGATGAGTCAGAAGCATTTTTTGCATGGTGTACAGGCTTTTTTATTCCTCTGCCCAGTTAGAGGTTTAATGTGGTGGGTAAACTGCCCCAGAGCTCTGAAAGATGCTGCACACAAGAGAGGCAGTTTGCTGCTGGACAGCATCCATACTCTGGATCCAGCTGTATCCAATTTGGATCCTATCTGACCTCTGCATGACCACAGAGAAGTCATGTCTCTATGCCTCTGTTTCCCTGCTGGTGAAATGGAGCAGTTAAGACAAAGTTGCATCAAAAGATTCTTATAAAAGCACAGGGCTCACCCTTCAGCTGATGGAGAGCTCAAGCTGTGCCCTCCCTCTCTGCAGCTCCCCTCTTTGGCTCTGCCCTGAGCCCACAGCGCTGCTCGCAGGGCTGTGCCTTCCTCTGCCCCCTGATAACTTTTGTGTTGCCTCCCAGTTGGTGACTACATAAAAGCCCTGGAGTGTGCCAAGTCCTACCTCCTCTTCCACCCAGATGATGAAGATGTCTTGGAGAATGCAAGTTATTATGAGGGTCTCTTGGAAGGTACAATAGATCCAGACACTGTGAAACCCAGAAAGGTGAGTGTCACCTAGAAGCCTAGGTGGGAAGCTTTAACAAAAGCTTCAGTTGGAAATAAAAGCAGCGTGGCAGCTTTCCCACAGTGGGAACCACTTTGAAAACAGATGTGGAGATGCTGGACTAGCTGGCAATGCTAAGTGTCAGGATGTGAGTTCAGAGTCACTTGTGTAGGGGAGAAACTGAAGGGTGGGATATTCTTTAAATGGGGACTTCAGCTTAGCAAAACCCAAGCAAGGGCAGAGAGGGCAATGACCAAATGCCTCAGCAACGTAAACCCTCCTCTCGTTCAGTGCTCCGGGGGAGACGTGGAATGCAATGAAGCACTGAGCAGAGGGTAACCTTTGTTAAGAGAGGGATGAGAAATATTTTCCCAAGGGGAGGCCGGGATGTCAGTGTTACTCTCAAGTCACTGAGGTTGGAGTTCAGCACTTGGCCTGCTTTGTGGGAAGTAGGTTTGCTATCACACGGTTAGGCTGGGGTCAAATAGCCAAAGAGTATGCATTCAGTCACCCAGTGGGATAGGCTTCTTTGGTCCGGGCAGGCTTTATCTATAGCCCTGGGGCTGCATCTCTCACAGTACAGAAGAGGACAAGTTCCTTCCTTTCCATCACTGTCCTGAGGAGACTTGTTCCTCCTGTGCCATAAGCAGAGGATAAGAAAGAATTGGATTTTCCATTCCCTTGGGTATTCCCTGATTTCCAGGAAAATCAAGGTGAATTTGGTAAACACTAAAAAGGAAAATGAACAAAAGAAAACTAGAACAGTGATTGTTTCTTCTCACAAAGTCAATCTAGGAAAAAACCTAAACTTGACAAAAACATGTCATTGTTTTCAGTATTCTGAAGTTTTCTGTAAAAAAAATAAATCTGATTTTTGTTTTGCAAAGTAATTTTCTCAGAGAAATCCCAGTGGTTGCTTTAGAAATATTTCATTCAAAAAAGAAGCCTTCTGATGGACACTTTCCAGTTGGCTGTGCTTTGTGGTCCCCGCCTGAGGACCCTGAGTGCATCAGGCTGCGATGCTGTAGCCCACCCACCGCCAGGCTCTGTGGGTTGCTTTGTGGGCTCTGCATTGCAGGTGGGGAACCAAGGCACAGCCCAGCCAGAGTCCCTGCCCTACCACGTCTTTTGGGGATTCAGGCTTCCCAAATGAGTTGCTGAACACCTCCATTTGTGTAATGTAGTGAGCCGCTCAGCTCTGTGTCTGGGGTTGCTCAAAAGCATGACCCAAGCATCCCTTACCTCACAGGAGTCTGCAGTGTTGCATGAAAAACAAACCCCTCTTGAAGTAGAGGTGTATTGCCTGTGTCTTGTGAAAACTACTTGAGCAACTACTCCCCTTTTCGTTTTCTTTTCAGGAAGCAAAAACACTGCTGAGGCGCCATAAGCTGGAATCTCACCTTTTGCAGGTGGCTGCGGCCAGCCTTGGATACACCTACACGGAGCCGGTAATGCCTGGGTCTGCTGTGGCGAGGACTTTTAGCGGTTCACCGCTATAGGACCAGCTTCCCCTCCCCTCTCCTATAAAGCGAGTCCCATGTAGGTGACTCAGGAGATGGCTGTTGCCCTGGTTTGTTCCCTATGGCAGAATGTTGATGGCAAAGCAAGGAAAGAAGCCATTCCCAGGGTGAAGGAAATGCAGACACAGCCTAGCCCAGCTCTCAGCCACTTTCATGGTGGTTGGGGAGAACAGAGAAGGCTGTACTTGTCAGATGATTCCAGGTTGGGTTGGGGTTGCATTTTCAGTTTGGTGACCCCAGGCAATTGCCAAAAGTTGTGTGGGATGGATCCATACCAGAGAGGCTGGCTGATGTCCCTGGGTGCGAGGCAAAGCACGTAGCTCCCTGGCTTTGGCTGGAGCATTAATTTAAGAAGCATGACCTCTCTCTTTTCCCACAGAACTACTGGAACAGGTACGGCGCCCGCCAGGATGAGCACAGGTGAGCCACCACTTGCCCCAGCTAAGCCGGTGGCTTCACCAGTCCCCGCAGTTGGGATGTCCCCGTGGTAGGATACAAGCCTGCCACTCAGGGCGTGCTGCCCATCTACCCCAGCACGCCATCATGGTTAAATTAGGGCCCTTTGCCCCTTACCATTACAAATTTTCCACAAGCACCTTATTTTAGCTGAGTGCCTCAAAAGCAGTCTAGAGGGAACTCAGTCAATGAGGCAAGTGGTGCTGCTCGTGTTTGCTGGTGACTGTGCTTTGGTGGTGGAAACTGTTGTTCCCATTATCAGAAAAACACTGTTTGTCACAGACAGCATGAGAATTTCTACTTGTATGGTTGTGTCTTGTGAAAGACACATTTGTACAAAGTACCAATTTGTCTGTTTTTTTAATGTATTGGTTTCCAAAGGGTCCAAAACAATGCAGTTCCCAGAACTGGAGACCTGTGGCCAAAGTCATAATATTCTTCTTTTCTCTTGTTCCTCAGTGTCCCATCAAGTATTAGCAGTGAACCAGAGGATGGGCCTCGGCTATTCCTGGCAAAGAAACCCATGGCAAAACCAGATCGAGAGTTGAAGGAGGGTAAGTCTGATGAATATGTTTCAACAAAATCAGAAGTTATTTTCCTATTGCTAGAGACCTCAGACTGCAAAGTTGGCTGATAAGCAACGGGGGGCAATTCTATCTGAGGGGGTTGAAATTCTGTTTAAGACAGAGAAGTCTTCGATGCTGCCACAGCATTTCTGGGTCTGTGGATCCCACAAGCATTGGTCTGCTCTTGGACTTGCTTTTCCTACCTGCTGAGCCACTTACTGAGCCCTGAGCTGTGGAGCTGGGAGGCTGGGTAGTCCTCACCATGGGGAAGGTGGCACCAGCAAACAGTATTCTTTCCCCTAGGTGCTTCTAAGATTAAAATGCTACCTCTTGTCCAGGCTGCAGAAGGATGGATGCTGGAGGCTTTAGGTTTTGGGAAATCTGGTACTGATGCTTTACTGAATGTGCTGGATCACACCATATTAGCAACCATTTCTGTTTGCAGAGTGGCTTGTGATGTCTTATCAAATCACTTGATTTTAAGACTTGTCAGTAGGCATTTCAACTGATTTCAGCACATTTTTGCAAGCCAGAAATAATACCGTAACATCATCTAAAGACAAGATTTCCCACATAACAATTTTGAAAAATTATATTGTAGCCAAATACCAAAGATGCTCCTTACTGCAAAACAGCTGGTCTCCAGCCAGGAGGTGTTTTGTATCTCTAGTGGGTCAGCTCCACAGCAGCAAATCTCCCTATAATGCAATGGATGCTTGTGCTTTTTTTGGGAATTAACAGCTTTCCATGGCCCAAGTTGTCTCCAGCTGCTCGGTGTCATGGGTCAAAGTATTGTTATCCCTTCTTTAGCCATACATAAAATAGGCAAATATCACTGGAGGATTCTGAAGAGCTTGCTGAAGCCAAGAGCTGGTTGTGTTACATTTGTTGGCCTATTTGCCTTTCATAATGAAATAATTTCAGAGTGTTTCTTTCTCTGTTTTTTCTTCTCTTTATAATTTTATTCTGGTTTAGTTGCAGAATGTTTTCAAGTTTACAAAGAAAACTGATACTATTCAAAAAGAAAACAGTATTTTTGTCCATCCAGCTGCTTCCTTTCTCTGTTGTCTTTTTTTCTTTCTCTCTTTTCACTTAGAAAAAGAAAAGGCCGAAAGAGAAAAAGAAAAGTCCACTTTAATTTTGTACTCCTGTACTTCTCTCTTTCCTCTCCTTCCTCCTTTTCACCAATTCCTTCACTCTCAAAAGTGCAAAGAAATCTCCAGTTTCTTTGTGGTGTTTTTCACAGAGCATACACACAGGAAATAGGTCTCTCTGCTGGTGCTCAGAGGCAGTGGGGGTGTGGAAGGCAGCCAGGAGCACACTGCCAGTGTGGGACAAGGGTTCAGTGTTCATGGCATAGGGCAGCCACCGCTAGTTCCCTGGGGGGAACAGAAGGAGTTGGGGAAGTGGTGAGTGATGCCTTCCAGGTTCATCCCTCGTGTGCCTATGGCTGAGGAAGAGCAACATCCGAGCTGGAAAACTCAGCCTGGGTTGGAGTGTGCCAGGAGTTTGGATTTCACGGTCCTGCTTCTGATCCAGCTGCATTTAAAATAAATGCTATTATTGAGCAACAAGAACAGCAAGTGAACATGAGGAAACCTAACTCTTCAAACATAAAGTTGTGGGCTAGCGGCAGCGCTCTGCCCTCAGGTTTATGTGTCCTCCATAGACCAAGGAGACCTTCCTAAGGCACACAGTGTGCTTCAACAGACAGCAAAAGTAGTAATTATAAAAGCAGCGTAACAGAGAAGTTTCCTTGTGCCACATGGTGAAGGGAGATCTGTGACTCTGTTTCCTCTGTTTTATTGTGGTTCTGTGACAAGAGGTAATTTTCCCCATGATTTAGGTGCATTTCACCTTCATCCTGGAGAAATACCTGGTTTAGGTTTTTATTGTGGCCATCTCTTTAATTTTCTTTCTTCAAGGAGATCAGGGGCAGAGGCTTCATAAGGTGGTGATTTAGTTCCTCATCATGTTTTCCTGATCAGGCAAATTTTATGGGGATGGATCAAAGCTTTGTGTAGAAGCTAATCTCTCTCTTCTCCCTGCCATGGCAGCTCGTTTGCAGAGGAAGATTATCCTCAGGGTCCTCCAGCTCACTCATTCCAAGCCCCCTTTTGGTGGAGAGCAAGCGATACTTGCTGCAAGCTCAGCACCACACTAGGTTTTCTATGTGTGCAAAAGACAAAAAGCCCACTGATGACAATTGCAGAAAGTGGCTTTGCATGCCAAGCTGGCAAGATCCACACAGCACAAATGCAATGGAAACTTATGGCCTCCACTGATGTTGGCTGCTGGGCAGGAGAGCCAAATTAGCCAATGTTCATGCCTCTCATTGTGTCCCATCAGGTTTTGGCATTTTTAGGCTGTGGTCCTTGCATTTGCAAGGAAGCTAATGGGAAAGTGGAAAGTGCTGATGCTCTTGCAGCAGATTGGTTTCATCTCCGTGTGTTTCCATTGCTTCTGTTTCTTTTGTTGCTGATGTGAGGCCAAACTGTGCTCTCTGCTGTGAATTTCTTTCCCTGGCAGCACACCCGGGTGATTTCAGCTGGCCTTCAGCCACAGTACAAGATGTTAGCGAGCCAGGTCATGTTCAGCAGGGTCGCTTTGTGTCTCTCTTTCCACCAGGGGGTCCACTTCTCTATAGCGATGTGAAGTTTGTCTACAACTCGCAGCAGCTGAATGGTACCCAGCGAGTACTACTGGATAATGTGATCTCAGAGGAGCAGTGCCGAGAACTTCACAGAGTGGCCAGTGTGAGTAGGCGATGTCCATAGGGGGGACATGACTGTCACCTGGGCTGAGCATCTGATGCTCTCCCCAGCATCTGGCTTGTGAGAGCTGAATATGCGATCAGCCACTGGAAAGGATCCAAGTTCATGCCTCACTTTTTAGTGTTGCAACAGATGCCAGGATGCCTGTGGAGAGCAGTCAGATTCTTGTCCCCACAACACACCCATGTGAGTGCATGGGAGCCAATTCTCTATCTGTGGGCCATTCTTAGAAATACGCTGCAAGACAGACCCTGTGCAGAAAGAGCTCTCTGACCCATGCCACATACAAGCCCAAAGGATGCCCATCCACAAGCCTGGTTGAGCCTTCTCATTCATCATTAGCTGAGCCCGGGAAGGGACTGAGGGTGCCTGAACATCCCCAGTAGGGAGGTGGGTAGCTGTTTTCCAGCATCTCAGAATGGACGATGTTCATGGATAACTGCAGTGCCTTCCCACCTATCTCACCTGTCCTGATGAATGCAGCCTTGGGGTATTTGGGGAAGAGGGTGCCAGGTGCTTCCATTGCAGCTCCTCCTCTTCTGAGGAACCAGTTCACCCCTCACCCTTGGTCATATCTTTCAGGGGATCATGTTGGCTGGAGATGGTTACAGGGGCAAAACCTCCCCCCACACCCCCAACGAGAGATTTGAAGGAGCCACCGTCCTCAAAGCCCTCAAGGTACAGCTCCCTCCTCCTGCTCTCCTGTGCCTTCCCTCCCAGCCAGCGCATAGTGTTGACCCTCTCTCACCCCTTCTCCTTGCCCAGTATGGCTACGAGGGCCGCGTCCCGCTGAAGAGTGCCCGGCTCTTCTACGACATCAGCGAGAAGGCTCGCAGGATTGTAGAGTCCTACTTCATGCTCAACTCCACACTCTACTTCTCCTACACCCACCTGGTGTGCCGCACTGCTCTCTCTGGTGAGGGCTCAGGGGACCAGTGGCAGGGCAGGGCTGGGGGGACGGGAGGGGGTCAGCTCCTTGCATGGGGTTTACAAGTTGGGGCCCAACCCTGAGAGTAGCTCTGATTTGCCTGGTGCTTAGACTGGTGGCCGAGGGTTGGGCAAAGTCATTGCCCCTGTAGCAGCAAAGGGTGGGCACTGCTGTCCCAAAGCAGCTCATTTCTGGGATGTCTCTTGTTTTTCATGTCTCCAACTCTTCCTCTTTTCTCCTCCCTCTTCTCTTGCCTCCTCTCATCATCCCTTATCCTCTCCACCCGACCCCCAGCTCTCCATCTCATTTCCCCGCATTAAGGAACAAGCAGAGCTGTGCAGATCTGAGTCCTCAGGTGCTGCCTTTCCTCTCCAGCCTTTCCTCTCCTCCTCTCACCTGTGAACACCAACCAGAGTGGGGTTGGGGCAGGCTCCCACTCCATGACAGACCCCACAGAGCATGACATTTCCATCTCATCCACACCTTCTCCTTCCCCCTTCCTCCACATGGACCTGCCTAGGCCAGCAGGAGAGGAGGAATGACCTGAGCCACCCCATCCATGCTGACAACTGTCTCTTGGACCCTGAGGCCAACGAGTGCTGGAAAGAGCCTCCTGCCTACACCTTTCGGGATTACAGGTAGGAAGGAAGGGGTCCCAAGGGCACCTAGGGACCGTCCCCAGGGTAGGGCATCTTGGTTTACAGAAATAAAGCTGCTACATCCCAGCCATGGCAGAAGTAAGACCCAGCAGGTAGCTTCTGGTGGCAGCAAGCATCGTGGGTAAGCTTCAAGCCAAAGTTTAACTGTAACAGCTGTGTGATATTTTAGGGTTGGGAGATCTCAGCTGTGGCTGAGGACTGGAGTCTCTGTCAGGTACTTTGGAGCAAAATGGGAGGGTGGGAGCTGGTGGGACCTAGGGGATGTTGTGGGAATTGTTCTCTAGCCAAAGTGAGATCTGATGTTTCGTAGCTGTGGCTCCAAACTGGGGGTAGCCCCAACCAGCCCCACAGTAGGACCTCTACCCCTTTGGCAGCCCCCCACCTATGTCTTCATGGAGTAATGTGGGATCTGCCTCAGAGGTGGGGGTCAGCCTTGAGCCCTCCCCACTGCTCCCCTCACAGAGGTCCCCCACTTCCTTCCCCAGTGCCCTCCTATACATGAATGCAGATTTCGAAGGAGGCGAGTTCATTTTCACTGAGATGGATGCCAAAACTGTGACGGTGAGTCGTGCTGTGGACCAAATGCTGTTCCTTGGTAGCCCATGCTCAGGAGCTTCCTGGGCAGGCTGTGGCTTCCCTGGGCAGGCTGTGGCTCCTGCCTTGCAAAGAGTCTATACAAAATCCTGCTAGCAGAGGTACACAGACCTTCTCTTCCCTTCCCAGAGGCTGCCTGAGCAGGAAACCTGCAGATCAGGGGCTTGCACCACCCGTGCACAGAGGGGTGGTGGTAGTTGTCCTGGCCCGGAGGACTGCTGAGCTCCCACCCCATCTCGTGGCCAAACATGAAGTGATGCCCTCATACATACGCAGTGACTGGCCCTGGTCCCTGCTCCACAGGGGTTCATGGTGGTGGACATCAGTCCCTGAGGATAGGGCTCAGGCATAGGAGGTTTTTGTTTTAGGGCTTCTGCATAGGAGGCACCCCCCTCCATGGTTAGAAAAAGGGTCTGGGCACCATGCTGTGGCTCTGGAATCCAGTAGATGCTGGAGGGTAGATTGCATCTCCCTATGCCTAAGGGTTGATTTGGTTGCACTTCTGCCCCTGAGGTCCTGCAGGTTACTTCTTCTGGACTCATCAGAGGGAAAAAAAGAGGTATTTCACAGCCCTCACCAGGGTTAGCCTGAGCCCCTCTGGTGTTATGCCATGGTTCTGTTTTGCTGTAGGTGGTCACCTGCAGGCTTTGCGAGGACTCCATGCTACTATCTCCTTTCTGCATGGTGTCTGTGCAGTAGAACCAAGCCTCACTCCTCACTATTTACCCCGGTCCTGAGGTGATGCAGAGAGATGCCCCGTAAGGTCTCAGACCCTGGACCACTGCAAGCCCAGACATGGCCAGTGTGTGCAGCTGTGCTGCTCCTTGCCATCCTGTTATTGCTTGTCTTCCCACAGGCCTCCATCAAGCCCAAGTGTGGGCGAATGATCAGCTTCTCATCAGGCGGTGAGAACCCCCATGGGGTGAAGGCAGTTACCAAAGGCCAGCGGTGTGCTGTGGCTCTCTGGTTCACCTTGGACCCACTTTACAGAGAGTTGGTGAGTCCCTCCATCATGATGTAAGGGGAGCTGGGGGGTACCCAGCATCCCAAAGGAACCAGGACCATCTTCAGCCTCCAGTCCCAGCACATCGCACCCCCTGCAGCAGCATTCCCATCCGCTGCAGTACGGGGACATGAGCTGGGGCCCAGAAACCAAATGGTTTTGCCTGCTGGCCGTGCTTTTGGGCACCTATCACTCAGCCCGTGGGGTGCAGGGCTGGGCTGGGGTGCTGAGTGGAGCGCAGGAGGGCTCTGTGGAGGGCTGGGCTGGCCGTTTCTGACACCTAGTGGCAATAACTTGATGAACGGGCAAGTCCTCCAGAGCCATCCGCAGCTCAGAGGCCAGAGTGATGGCTATTTCTAGGTCTTCAAAGGCAGTTTGGCAGCCTGAATTCCATGGGTCTGGGCACCCACATTCCTTGGAAGATCTGGACTGTGGTGCTTTGCACCACACAACCTCCAGATGCTGGTTTAAAAGCCTGCTGTACCAGCCTCTCTCTCTCTTCAGTAACTTCTGGTCTAAAAGGAGATAAAGACCAAGCAAAACTAAATGCAGGGAGAGAGCAAAATCCTTGTGCCTTTGCCTTGTGATGCAGGTAGCCTGTGAGATTTTGGGAGAAGCTGATTGTCAGACACGCACTTTACTGTGTCTCTGCTTTTTGGTGCTAGCTGAAATTCCTCTATGCCTTGTGCGTGTATGATAGGAGATCAGCCTTGCCCAGGGAGCTGGAAATCCATGTCAAGCAGAGTGGACAGGAGGAGGGTACACTGTGGCAATGGCTGCTAGTGAAGTGTGATAAGGGAACTGCAGTATATCAGCTCTCCCCCCAGCCACTGCAGCCCCTGCAGGGAGAAGAGGATTGGATATTGAGGTGCAAAGTGATTTGATTAATTTTGCCCAGCAAATCCCCAGCTCAAGTCCCAAGCTGTCCCCTGCCCTCTCAACTACACAGCTGGTCCTTGGATGAACTGCTTGCTGTGGGTCCTCTCAGCAGTCTGAGCAGTGCTGAATAAGCCAAGAGCAGGCACTGAAACACTGCTGCTGTGGTTTATTCCCCTCTTGCAGGAGCGAATCCAGGCAGATGAAGTGATTGCGATGTTGGACCAGGAGCATCTAGGACCCAGTGAAATGAACATCAACCCAAAGGATGAGCTATGAACTAGGCCAAAGACTTTTTCTATTAAATATTTATTTAATATTGTTAATCTTATTAGAACCCTTTTATTTTTGTACAGAGACGCTGTATAAATTAACAGGTTAATATGATTGTGGAGTTTCAGGAGTGTCTCTTCTGTGTTTAGCACAGCTCTTGCTGGGACCCCTCATGCCTGTGCCAGCATCTCCTGCTGGGGCTGACTGCCTCCAGCATTCCCTGTTCTTCTCCAGCACTTCTCAGGATTTATTCAGCCCTACTGTATCCCTTTGCAGACCTTCTTTTTTTTTGTTCATTTAGGTTTTTTTTCCTTCCTCAATCGGAAATAGCTGCTTCTCTTTAGCTTCTGCTAGAGAAATGTTTCAGGTGTTCTAATGGACCAGCCTTCCTGCCCCTGCTAAGTGCTGGTTGATGATCTGGGCGGCGCTGCCACAGGGGAAACTGGAGCACAAGTTAATTATGGCTGTCCTTTCCAACTTGGAGCCTTTCACCATTTGAAATACGCTTTTTTAGGGGAAAAAAAAAAAAAACCAAAAAAACCAGAGGAAAACTTAAGTCCTAGCAAAATGCATATCTCTCTGTAGCCATGCAGAGCTGGTGTTTGGTATTAATTCTGAGCAGAGCTTCCAGAAAGCATCTCTTGGGCAGGGACATGAGGTGTGCACAGGCATGAAGGTGTTTGACTTGCAGCTGACTCTGGTGGAATAGGGTCTGTTGCTTCTGTTCACTCCCTTCTCTTGCTAATTGCCTGGGATGCATGAAAGAAACTCCCCTTTTCAAAACAGACAGAGGAAAGCTGGGGAGAAGAAGGGGAGGACACCTGGAGAGCTGAAAGACATTACATTGTACCTCCATCTGCACCATGCTATTGCATCCAAGGTTTGATTCCTACATGCTGCACGTTCAGCGTGAGTTTGCGCTGCCATCCCCTTACAACTTTTGTCTGCCCGAGTGCATCCTGCAGAGCTGCCTGTCCAAGCAGCAGGGTGCAGCCCCTGCCCTCCCAGAGGCTGCAGGGATCCCATCAGCTGGTCCTCTGTCGGGAGGGGATGCCTGTCGTAGTTGGTTTGCTGCTGTGGTGGTTAGCCAGAGCTGTGTCTAAATCCAGAGGAAATAAACTAAACATGATGTTTGGGCCTGTCTTTGTCTTTCTTTAGCTAAACATTAGAAGGGGAGACCAGGGTGTGTGTGGCTTATCTCATGATGGTGTCTCTCTCTTTGGGGTTTCCTGCCCCAGGCCCTAAAGCAGGACCCCCTTCTGGAACAGGCATGGGGGGGGCCATGGAAAGGATTAAACAAAGTTGCATGTGTGCATTTGGCTGCCTGTCCATCTCCTTTGCTCTGTATCCAGTTACCTATTAACTTAGGTACCATTGGCACGCTTCAGGTAATCTGGAGAGCAGGAGGAGGGTGTTGCTGCCCCTATGTGCTGCTGGGGTGTGGAGTAGGCTGGGGATTGAAATGGGGTGCCAGCCGGCTTCTGGTGAAACAACAGCTTTTGGTGGAGAATGGTGCCTTGCACCAGACCAGGTGCTTAAACTGGTGGCCAAGAAGGAAATGATCCTCAGAAGGATGCAATGTTTCAGGACTCAGTTGCAAACATGACCCCTCTATGCCCAAGAAGGGGAAAGATTCTGGGCTGCCTGAGCCATGCCACTCACCGCACTGCTTTGCCACCAAGACTTGACTGCAGTCCGTGCCGGGCTGAAGCCAGGAAACAGGAAGGCAGAGAGTCAAAGGCAGTTTTCCTGTTTGTTTGTTTTTACAGCTCTCTGCTCTGGCAAAGTCTAGCTCAGAAGTGGATTTGCGTTTCTGCTGCAACAGCAGAGGTGGTTGCCAAGTTTATGGGCACAATGTAGCCTCGCGAGAGCAAGTTACAGAGCTCTCTGGGACATGCACCGAAATATAATCTAGGCTTTTGGGTCTCTTTTGAATCTGAATCGGATAGGTTGCCACCGAGGTGGTTTGAGCTCTGAGAAACGTATTTTAATTCTTATATTTGATGTAGAGGCCTGGTGTCTGCCAGAGCTGTCAGAGTCATATCCTGACTGCCCGCAGGGCACCCATATCCCTGAAAAAAGAAAGCAAGCTAACAATAATGCTGAACATATACACTCCTCCTTGGTCAAATACACCCCAGGGACAACCTGGTGCACTAACAGTTTTGCTTCCTGCTACATTGGTTCACGTTATTACGAAGGTTATTCCCTTCTTGCCCTGTCAGTCTGGTAATTGTTGCTTCCCAAAGTCCCAACATGAAGCAGCTCCCCATGGAGGCAGTGTCTGAAGTCACACCACTAAGAAAAAAGCTGATGTGCATTTCAGAGCAAGTTTCATGGCTCCCAGGCCAGCTCCAAGCTCCTCTAGCCGAGGCTTGGCCACTGAAGGGAGCCACAACCTAATTAGGCATTGGCCATTTTGCTATATATGCCCCAGTTGTATTACTGGCAATAGGAGATAGAGATGCTTGAACCGTGTCTCAGTTCCTTATTAACTTTGCTGTGCCTCTCCTAATACTAGTAATACATGCAGAGTGGGATTAGCAGGGTTGATTTATGACACTCACCGAGAAAAAAAGAAAGAAAACAACTCACAAAGGAAAGAGAATAGAATTAAAAAAGTAATTAAAGCAACAACTGAAGTGGTTCTGTGTGTGTGCACGTGTGTGCTTGTGCACGGCCGTTGCTCTGGAAGCAAAGCCCTGCACAGTGTTACTCAGTGCCAGGGAATCTTTACTAGCAAGGAGCTTTGTTTTGGTTTTGACATTCACATGGGCCCAAGCCAAGTTTGGTCACCCCTTGCACAAGGCTGCTGATAGGGGTTGCTGGGGGCTGGAGGAGCCCAATCTGTGCAATAAACATGCCTTAATGCAAGTGACTGCTGAAAGTTTCTCTCCAGCCAGAAGCTCACCCCTGAAACCTCAATTTAAAATAAGACTTGTGGGTATTTACTAATTCCTGAATCCATAGTCAAGTCTGAAATATCTAAGGCTCCCTGTTATGTCCAGCGGCTACAGAGTCTAATAAAACCTGGGAATGTTCATAGCCTGTGAGACCTTTTGAGGTGCCAATTGTAAGCAACTGAACTCACCAAAATTGCTGTGGAGGCTTAGAGCCATGTGGACAAGTCAGTCTCCATCAGCTCCATTGGATGATGACTAATCCCCATTGATTCCAAGCTGGGGCACGACAAGCTTATAAAATATGGTGTACTTGAATCTTTCGACCCCTTTATTCTCCAGGATCTAGACTGACAGGCCAAAATACAGCAGCTTTGATCACCCTTGGAGACCCAGTGACAAACCCTGCAAGCCGCCAGCCTGGCTGAAGCCTCTCTTCTGCTGCCACTCCATCCCACCCTGCAGCTGCATCCCTCCTGCTGTGTCCCTACCCTGCTGTGTCCCTACCCTGCTGTGTCCCTACCCTGCTGTTTGGTGTCTGTTCCAGTGATGGACAATTTGGGTGGCACTGTCCCTGCTGGCTGCTTCACATAAGGTTAGCCAGTCCCTCTGCAAGGGTCTCCCCACCTTGGAGGCGCTATGGTCATGGGTGCGAGCAGAGCCTGGACAGATTTGTTGTCTTTGCGTTACAATTGTGGGCTGCCTGTGAGCTGCAGCAATTCAGACAGGAAAAAGCTGTGAGTGAAAGGAGACAGAGGTTGCAGTGAGCACTGCTCATCCGTCCTGATTAAACCTGGGCAGAGCCAACCTGAACATTTACAGACAGCTGAACATCTTCCCATGAAAAACTGTCATTAAAAAGAAAGGTTGTTCCTCCTGTCCACACCCTTGCCCAGCCTGGGGGAAAAAGAACAAAACAGCTGGCAGGGAGATAAAAATGGGCTAGTCCTGCTTTGGGGAAGAACTATATTAAAAAAGGAAAGAGGCATGCATGTCTTTTGTTTCCACAACTGCTCCTATGCCCACACCCCACCAGAAAAGCCACCTTTTCCTGTGGGAAATGTTGCTGCTTGTCCGTGCATCCGGGTATGACTCTGGCCAGGTCCCATGACACTGTGCTCTTCTCCAGTTGTGGATGGACATATATATATGTGTGTGTGTATATGTCCTTCTCCTCCCACCACTCCATTTCAACAGCATTTCAACTCCGTTTCAACAGCAGGCACTCAGGCTCCATGTATAAGATGCCTTAGTGCATCTTAAACATGACAGCCCTGGCACTCCAGAACCAACAGAGTGTGGCTACTCACAAGGCCAGATCCTGCACCTTTGTTCACCCCAGGCACAGCCCTGCCTTCACTTTGTCCCTGAGGGGTCTACATGAACAGGTAGAATGGGTGTCACTGAAAACAACAGGGCCCCCCATATCCTCCTGGAGCACAGTATAGTGTGTGTGTGTCACTCTGTGTCCCCAGAGCACACACAGCACCAACAGACTTCTGTCTCCACAGATATGGTGGATGCCATGGCCAGCCCAGCATTACATTTATCTTGTTTTAAACACATGGTGAAAGCTGGCACTGAGTTTGTTTCCTTCTCATTTGTCAAAACTTTGTTATGCAAAAGAAAAAAAGATAAAAATCATAAATGTCAACATGTCCCAAGCCACTGGCCACCAGCCAACCCTGCCAAAAATGAGTCCAACACACTACAGGAACTTAAGAAATCAAAACAAGCAACTCGGGGAGCTGCCTAGCCATCCTCACCTTGTTTCCGGGTGAAAGCACTGGTGAGCTTCAGGGCAGCAGGGCTCAGCCTGAGTCCGGACAGGCGGCAGCGAGCAGCATGTGAGGCCATGGAAGAAGAGCTTGCGTGCAGGCAACCACAGTGCGTGCCATGGCAGGAGCAGGGAACGCGAGGGCCCTGTGGGCAAACGAAGCCAGGCTGGCGAGTGGACATGCTTGGCAAAGAAGCAAATCGGCTAATGATTGTTTCCAGGGGTGGTTTGGATAATAAGAATGGCAGTTCTAGTAGGTATTTCCTGAGGTTGTGCAGGGCAGGGCAGGGCAGGGCAGGGCAGGGGGAATTAATATGAGCTCAATTTAGCTCCTACCCCTCCTTTATTTGTAATGCGATTAACAGTAGAGTTGGTAGCGGCACCATCAGCCTGCTGCCGTGATGGGGTGAGCTGATAGGCAGC